AGCGATGTAGAAGCTGTCCCTGGGGGTCGGGTCTGGTGAGCTCGGCGCCGGTGCTTGCGATGGCCTTTCGGAACACTTCGATGGTCTCCAGGTGCGTGATGGGTCCGCCTCGACGTCCATAGAAGAGGTACTCGTCATTTCTGTCGGTGCCCGGGCGATGGTTGCGCCGAATGAATGTGTCCAAAGCATGGTATGGACAGAGGGCCGCCAAGTTGTCGGAACATGTGCATGGGTGCGACCGTGTAATACACACACCAATTGTGTCTGTTTTGTGACAGGGGAGCGTGAAGAACGCCAACCTGCCAAAGGCGCTGGTCTCGAACCAAACGTTGGAGAACCGAGCTGCTGCTACTTCGATGCCCCGCAGCATCCACCAGCAGCAGATGATGGTAACGAGGACGCAGTCGTAGAGGTACTCTGCCCAATAATCTTCCGCTGGCGGTGGTGTAGTGGAGCTGTCCGTTGTGGCTGCGAGGTCCTCGACAATGAATGCGTCCTTGAGCGTTGATGGGCCTAGACCCCGCTCGATGCTCCTGATGGACATGGTGATCTGCTGCTCGATGTCCGCGGAGAGTCTGCATCCGGTGTGTGCGACATGCTGCTGTCTTGCCATACTGAAGACTTGTGCCGAGGAACGGTATCTGCCTCGCTTGAGGCTGGATGCGATGGCCTGGACGAGCTCTGCCGTAATCGGGAGAGGCGGTAATCTCCATGATGTAGCAAGGCGAGTCCAGAGGTTCCATCTCGAGTCCCGCGTGTTGCGGGTGGTGTTGGCGCACTGGTCCCTCACAAGGTTCTGGATCGCCTCCTGTTGTACTGCTGGCGCCGCCGCCTCCAATGCCCCGATGATGGATCCCCTCGTTGACGATGTCACGACGGGTAGATCTCTACGTCCGCGTGTCCTGATCTCTGTGGTGCGCTTGGGGGTGGAGCGTCCCAGCAATCGACAGAAGGCCTCGAGGTCTCGTTGTTCTGGTGCTATAGCCAAGACTTGCTCTGGGGTGAGGCCGTTCATCTGATCGATGTTGCGGACGTCCTGGTCCACCAGTCTAGGAGCCAGGTGCGTGAGGTCAGCAGCCCTGAGTTGTGCCAAGACGTCTCTGAAGGTGGTCATGGCGAGCCTATCAATCCTATGGGGATCCTACTGGCGATCTGGATCTTAAGGGCCATAACCGCCCGTCTATGCCATAACAGCCAAACATGGTGACTATGCACTTTTTCCGGTGAGGTGTCGAGGCTCTCCTAGGAGCTGTCTCGGATGTTCTAGGTGGGCCCATTCATCAAACATGGTGCATATCCGCAAGAATCAACTAAGCGGATGGTGGCCGCCTTTGTAGCCCCAGGGACCTTCGCCTAGGCGGTAATGCCAACTGGGGTTCGGCTCAACATGGTGAGTGATTGTCCTACTAGGGACCCTCGCCTAGGCGGAATTCCCTATCCTGTAGGCTCACTCAGGTCTCCATTGCTGATGCGCTCCGCTTGGTGGCGCTCCGGAGTCTGCCCGCCGCATGGTCCTCGGTGAGGCGGAGGCGCAAGTAGGTGAGCCCCAAAAACGTGCAGAAGTCCTTCTGCGTCAAGATCTGGGTGACTCCGGCTTCATAGGTGTACGTGGTCATGTCATAGTACGGCGGGTCGTTGAGGTACTCAACAAGGCCATAGTTGCGCGCGGTGTCGTGGCTGTTGAACTCCTCCCTAAAGAACTTGTCGGGGTACCTGGATGTGGGAAGGAGGTCCAAACGGTATGGTGGGTTCGCCCCACTGACGTTGCGCGTGTTGATCTCCAGGACGCTGTTCCTGGGCCATGTCTTGCGGACGAAGTAGGGCAGCAGCTGGTTCTTGTTGTTCGCGACGTCCTTGAGGGCCTCCGTGATGAATTGGTTGAAGTCGTCGCGGTCGGTGATCTCCTGCTGGATGTTGAGGATTGCCAGCTTGAGCTGCTGCAACAGGCGATCCTCGTCCTTCTTCTCCCACTCCGTGAGGTAGAGGAAGTAGCTGGTGTTAGCGCCCTGGCTTGGCTGGTGCACCTGCAGCTGCTGTGCCCTTGTGGATGTTGCCAGGTCCGTGGTGTCAGGTGCGGCCACGATGAGCGCCTTCTGTGCCGGGACGAGGTCGGACTGCTGAATCCATGGGCGGTAGGCGTTGAGGCAATGTGGACAGTTGCACTGTCCATGTTGATCCTTGATGGGGGCGAGCGGTGATATCTTCCGAAGCCAGTGCTTGTTGTCCACCACGGCCTGGCAGCCGATCTTCCGGCATATGTAGTGTTGCTGCATGGTGTCGGTGATCTTCGAGGCCCACTCGGTGAGGTGGTTGTCCGCCTCGATGCGCTGGAAGAAGGCATGGCGATCCCAATCCGGGTCCAGGGCCGACTTGATGGTGTCCTCGTCCCACTGTCGGAACGCTGCCATACGCGCGCGCGGTCTCCTTCTGTTGAGCTCAGGATGTCCACGGTGAAGCGGTCAACGAGGGCCAAGATGCGTGCTCGCACCTGTGCACGAACTTCTGCCTTGTTGAGCCCCGGGTGTTCTTGATGAATCTGCTCGGATGCAGCTGTCCAATAGGTGTTCCGCAGACGATGTTGCTCCCCTGCTTCACGGCGTCTGATAGTGATGACTTTCTGGCAGAGCTTGTAGAAGGTGTCCACATCCAGCGTTGTGGCCTGATTGGGGTTGTTGGTGCGGGGTAGGACGACGTGGCGCACCCACCGGAATTTGTTGTCCGACCACGTGGCCTCGATGTACAACTTGCGCTGGTGCTGGTTGTTCTCGTCCAAGGCGATGACCCAGCGCTTGGGGTACGTCTCATAGTCTGCGTCCTGATTGGCCACTGATGCGCGGTCCTGGTGTCTGTAAACGGTGCGATTGGGGCTCACCGCGGTGCCCGGTCTGTTGGGGAGCGCAGGTGACAATGAGGTATGCGCGGTGAACCAATAATAGTCGTCGTTGTCCGCGTTGATGCACTGGAAGCAGCATCTGTAATAATGATTGCGCCAATCTGCTGTTCCTTCTGGGGTTATGTCCAGCAACCAGTATGGCGGAAACCATGCCCCGCAGAACGTGCAATCAAGGCAGTTTTCTGCCGGGTTGTTGTCCTCGGCGTGCTTGAGGAGGTCCAGGTACACCTCGGCGTGCTTCATGGTGTCCACTGCCTTGGCTTCGACGACGTCGCCTGTGGGGTCCGGCACATCGGTGGCCGATGCCCCGGTGAGCCGATCAATCCACTTCTGCACGAGGTCGTCCGAACTGAGGCCCGGGAAGGTGCTCCGAAGACCACGAAGTGCTGCTCGCTCCAATGATGTCCGCTGTGCTATGTACTCGAAGGCCCGCTCGGTGAGCCGTGCGTTGTGGGTACGAACGATGGCCCTGGCGTGCTCGTTGCCATAGGTGAAGTCAAAGTTGCGCTGCTGCTGGCTCGAGGAAGGTGCCGACATGATGCTACTGAGGTATGAACGGGGTCGAGGTGCTAGCTTTTACAGAGGTAAGGCTACGGCACATAACATGCCTGGCCACGCTGGTCATTGTTGTTCACAGCAGGCCAATCACTACTGATGCACATAACGGCGCATGTACTCCTACGCATGAAAACTGGCATGTAATCAAACTGCAAGTCATCAACTGGCCGACCTATTTACTCGATGTCTCCGATCTGAGTCTGATGTCGGTGGTCCAGGCCAGGTGTTGTTGAACCTGAAGGTGGGTCAAAACGCAAAAGGGGAGCGTGGTGCAGGAAGGCGGGCCCATCGCCTAGGCGGAAAGCCCCCGTCCTGTATCACCAAATTGGTGCTCCATGTCTATCTTACACGTGCTCAATGGCCCATCGCCTAGGCGGGAAGCCACATTGCTACGTTACTGGGACCGTCTC